AGCGGGGCGACCGCGAGAAAAGAAGACGCGAACCATCACACGCACTGCTACGGGCTTACAAACGCCCGCCTTCCGCAACCGCGCTGCCAGAGGCGCAATCGGCGACGCGATCCGGGCCCTACAAACGCTACAGAATGCGTTGGGCAACGCACCCCTGCAGGGCAGGGAGTATGTTTAAGCGTCTACTGATATGCTTAAACCACCGTAAATAAAAAAAAAATAAATGTAACTGCCGTGCGCGTAGAATTACCCGTCTTTTCCCACTATTTACGTGTGCTCCATCACGCGCCAATTCCTCTATCCTTGTTGGCCGAATTTCGTTAGCCGATCGACCCCTTAGCAGCGTCCGTTCGAGCTAACGAACAAACACTCTAAAGCCAACAACCCTCGCTCGAGCACGGCAGCTTTAAACCGCGGACACTGCTCTTGGAATAAATTATCATACTAAATTATTAGTATAAGTGCATATTGTGAAGTGCGTTCTGCAAAAACCATATCCACCACCTTGAATTTTAATTAAATTTGTTAAATAATAAAGTCGGAAAGAAGTTCTTTTTATTTAAACTGTGAGCCCGCTCGACAGCCGACATCCCCTTAAGTCCTTAGCGACTTGATCATTGGTCCTTCGAGGCTAAAAATGAGCCAAACTATAGTACACAGCCACTGCTATTAAAACAAAGTTTTGTAAAAAAAAAGACAAAATTTAAGAAAAAAAAAACAAAAACAAACCTACGTACCCCCGATCGAAAAAACTTAAAAATTATATAACAAACCAAAAAATGTGGTGCTACACAATGGAAAAATAAAGTGGTGAAAAAAAAAACATATAACCATATTAAAAAAAAAAAATAAATTAAAAAAAAAATTTTAATATTTACAAAAAAAAAATTACTAAGCAAACGCAAGAGAATATTATGAAAATACATACATTCGTACATAAAACAACTTTTTTTTTTTTTGAAAAGTATTAATATACAAAAATATGTACAAATACACATAAATAAGTGTTAAGAGTGCACATTCATATACAAAAAAAAAGTCACATACAAATGCAAAACCAAACGCTCAAAACGCCAGCAGCAGTTCTCATAACTCTACTGCGCAACACCCAACTGCCAAGTCAACTTCTCCAGTTCAACAAGCGCATACATGCTCCAATCCAAGCGAGCAACCGTGCTGCTCTAAGCAGGCATACATTCAATCATTACATGCAGAACTCTCCTTCCAACTGCCATTATCGCAGTGGAACACCAAGGAGAATTGTTTCAACTCAGAGCCTTAGTTGACCAAGGCTCACAACGAACTTTCATTTCCTCGAAAGTTCAGAAAAGGTTGCGTCTTCCAGTCGAATATTCAAATTTCGAAATTTCTGGAATGTATATAGAAGCAAACCACGACTCGTGCCCCAAACGGTCGGAATATTTTGCGGCTTCCATTCAAGGAAGATTTTCCCGCAAAACTCTCTTTAGGCCACTCCCGGTCTGCAGCGCTTCAAAAATTTTTCAGTATTGAGCGCACGCTAAAGAAAAGAGAAGAGTTAAACATAATGTAACAATGTGTTGCAAGAATATCTTGACCTCGACCACATGGAATTCACCTACTCGCGTGAAATAATCTCCAGTGGTAACTATCACTCATTCTACTTGCCACATCATGCGGTTGTAAAACCGGATAAAGTGACCACTAAAGTTCAAGTGGTGCTTAACGCCTCAAGAAAATCGAGCTCAGGCAATTCGCTTAATGATGTTTTGCATACTGGTCCTACTCTCCAACCAGACCTCATGCTGCTCATTCTTCAATGGCGCATGTACAAGTTTGTATTCAATGGAGATATTGAAAAAATGTATCGTCAGATATTGATTCACGACGATGATAAGCAGTTTCAGCGAATCATATAATATTTCGTAAGTCGGCTGAAGCTCTTGTCACCGATTACTGCCTGAAAACTGTTACATTTGGGCTCAATTGTGCACCATACCTTCCCATCCGTACATTGCATCAACTTGCGACGGATACAGCGGCAATATATCCAATGGCTGCACCAATAATACGAAACCAAACATATGTCGATGATATCTTATCCGGTAGTCATGACATAGAGAGTGCTTCTGAATCATAAAATCTGCTGGTTTCATACTTAAAAAATTAACGGCAAATAACACAACCATACTGCAACAACATCCCAAAGAGGATCTGCTCGATTCAAACTGAAATTCTGAAATTCGAGAGTGCTTCTAACACCAAGTCTCTGGGTATCCAATGGAACGCTCTAACAGATAAGTTTACCTACACAATTCCGCCAGCTACTTCGCTAAGCGACAAATTTTATCGTCGGTTGCAAAACTTTTTGACCCGGCAGGATGGCTGTCGCCAGTTATGATTCAAGCAAAAATTCTGTTGCAAGAACTGTGCCTAGACAGCACTGATTGGGATGAATGTGCTAAGCCCACAGCTTTGTCAAAATGGCACACCTTTGCAGAAAATCTGCCAGCCATTTGCGCAATCGAAATACCACGCTGGGTAAATTTCGCTCCGGGGCAAGACACCCAAATACACGGGTTTTGCGATGCTTCGGAGAAAGCATATTGTGCCACAATTTACATCCGCACACATGCTAACAATGAAATAACATCCACCCTCCTGGTTGCAAAAGGAAAGGTAGCACCGTTGAAAACGGTAAGCTTACACGCAACATATTTCTATGGTCAGATTCTGAGATCGTATTGGCATGGCTCGAGAAGCCACCACGCACATGGAAGACCTATGTATCAAACCGAACTCTCAAATCCGAGAATATGTTCCAAGCGGTACATGGCGTCATGTTGCAAGCGGAGCTAATCCCGCAGATTTTGGTACACGCGGCTGCAAGCCGCAGGACTTAGCTGCCAATTCACTTTGGTGGC